TACGAACAGCAGGAACCAAATGCTGTTTCTCAATTCCAATTCAAGCAGTATTGTGCCATTTTGCATTTAAAGTAAAAATAGACAACACTGGTATTGTCATCATTTCCAAATGATTTAATAAAGCAAATCTAATTGTTTTCCCATACTTTCATAGGAGTATGTAAGATAGGAGTCTCCTATCTTACACCAAAAGCTTCCCAGACCTCCTTGGAATCTTCCGTGAAACTTATCTGTATCTATGTAGATTCGTAGATCACTTTACCTATAGTTACCCAAGAACTCGGAGATATTTAATGATTAGCTCAATATTTTAATCCATTTCTATCATTGATATTATAAAGTACCATTTTCTGACATTTTTATTTATGCAGTAGTTCTTAGGAAATTGGTTTTACCATGCCACCTGTTGGGACTATTAGGTATGACACTGCAGGTCCAAACTAATGAGTGCTAATGTTCATTCCTTTTAAGATCACTATGCTGCTCTAAGTTTTATTATTCATTCAATTCATAATTCTTGGAGAATTTGTTGTCTTCCTCTCATTCCTGTGTCATGGCTTCAAAATCAGGAGTGCTTTTTGAAAAGTTTTATAATTTAAATGTGTGTTTGAATTTAGCACCTCACATTTTACTTTCTACTGGATTTTTAATTTAAAATTTTTACTTATAAAGCTAGTACTTCTTCCGAAATGTCCTGTGTGCTTCTCACTCTACCTGTTTTTGAATAATATTCTTTGCAAATAATTGACACTCTACCTGTTTTTGAATAATATTCTTTGCAAATAATTGATACTGTCACACAACCCACTGATTTATTTTTAGCTCCTACTCAGCTTTTTATATTCACATATTTATGACATAAATATTACCATCTCCAGTTTTCTCTTTCTGAGTCTTTAGTGTCCATTTCATCTCTGACTCTGTGGTTACATAACTCTCATAATAGTACAAAAAATAAAGCCTTTAATCCCTTAGGTGGCAAATTCCTCTCTGCAATCTAATTCCTTTCTTCATGGCAATAGCTAGATGTTTGAAAGAAGACTCTACAGTTGCCTTTTCACTTTATTTTCCATTCATTTTTTTTTTTAATGCATTGCAGTCTGACTTCTGCCTCTGCTAATCCTTTCCAAGGGAAAGGAAGAACATTGACAGAGCATGGAAAGATCAAATGGCATGATGTACTGACCAAATTCAAAACCAGTGCTGGCAGCAGATAATTCTGGAAAAATGTGTGATGGTCCATTTCTGTAACTCATACTCTGTTTCATGAAGCTTAGATTTTCACTTTGGGGGAAAAGGAAGTCATGGAAAGGTTAAATAAAAGAGAGTGCACCACCTCTACTGCTAGAAACTTATACTACATTCACTTTGGCATCAGTGTCCTTAGCAGTAGTGAAATAGGGCGTCCAGTGAGGAAGCTGTCATAAGCACTGTGGGAGATGATGAGGGTAGAGTAGAGATTGGAGACTCTTCTATAGTTGTACCAGTATATATAAAAAGATAGTTTGTGGAAGCTGGATCTATAATAAAGATACATAGTATGCTTTAGAAATGATTTTTGTAAGTGATTCACCTATGAGAGACTGTACTTAAACTTTTTCCTGCTTGAAGTTCAATTAATTTACTCATCTTCATCAGTGAAGATTACCTTTTCATCAGAACTGATAGCAGCATTATTTCATATGCAGCATTTATGGTATCAAGATGAAGTATAGCTCTACATTTTATTCACATAGATTATTTGCTAGAAAATTGGTAACTGTCAGTGTAATTAATAGCTTCTAATTTGTTGTGGTGTTGCATTTTTTGTCTTCCATATTTTAATCTTTATTTTACAGTGCTTCCCTGTATGAAAACTTTGTCCTCACTTTATTTAGTCATCAGTGTGAATTTCATTAACTAGAAACTGAAGTCTTTTGCTGTTAGTAAGGCTTTTATTAAAAGAAAAATTTGTACCTGCGTTAGTTTTCTTTCTTTCAAAATCTTATTGAAAGTCCTTTAACGTATCAGTGGCCAAAACAAAACCAATTTTAATACCTATCATTTTTGTCAACATACAGAACAACATGGCAAACTGACTTGAAAAAGATACATAGTTACTTAGCCAGATATACTTATTCTTACATATAAACAGGAATGCCATATTTTGAGTTTTAATGTTCCCTTGTTCCATATTAATGCTTGAGTGTATTCTGCTTGGTGATGTTTTGTCATTATTTTAGAGCCCCTGAATATCGAAGATGAAATAAAAGAACAGATTGAGTCCCTTCTCTATGAAACGGTACACACAGAACATGGTATGAATTAAAATCTACTGTTTTGTCATGAGTTACTAAAATAATATTTGCATAAAATTATTTGGATATTATTTTAAAATTTTAAATGTTGGGTGTTTAGGTTGTTTTTACAATTTTTTTTATTCCAGGTTAATAGGGAACAAGGATTATTTTTGAACTAACACCAGACATACTTTATTATATGCCACAAAACTAGGAATGAACTTATTGAACATGTTTAAGAACAACAAAAAATGGTGGGAATAAATGAGGACAAACAACTCAGGACCACTCATCCATCAAGAAAAGATGGGAGGTCATAGTAGAGAGAGGACACAAGCCAGTGAGCTGTGGTGGCTCATCCAGGGGCTGTCCTCAGCCCTCAGATTTTACTTCAAGCTTGACTGGTCACCAAAGCAAACAAAGGAGAAACTTTTAATTATTTAGATCATACTGCCAGAGAAGACAAAAACATGCTGTGTTCTTAGAAAATATAAAGCATTCTTCCAGCACTTAGATCTAAAACAGTTCTCATATGGAGTTCTCTATAAAGGGTATTAAATGATTGTCAGCAACAAGCGTGTAAGACATCCCTTGATAAAAGCAGAGAGCATGACCCCAAAATGGAACTCACAGAGGGGTTGTGAGGGGCAGGACACTATGTTGCCCTGATACTACTATTGGTGTGACCCAGGGGAAGCCTTCAATAAACTTTGTGCTATAAAAACAATTCCCTACCATTCAAAAAAGGATTTTGCTGATCGCTGTTAGGGGTATACCAGCCTATGTCTTTTATTGCTGGTTGTTTGCAGCTGGAAAAGCCATTTCATTTGATATACATCCACCCACATGAGCATGTGCAGGCTTCCCCTTCCTACAGCTCTTGTTCTTTAACCCAACTCAAGAAAGATGCTGTCGAAATACTGATTTCAGTAGGAATTATCATGGTGAACACAGGTATTCTGGGGCTTACCAGACTTGGGCTCAGGAGAGGCTTCCTGCAGGAAATGTCATCTCACTGTCACAGTACTCACCTGTCGGGTGTTATCAGCAGAAGGAACAGTGTGTGGAAACCCAGAGAGTGAAAGTAGTTTGGAATGGCTGGTACGTGGTGTGCATAGGTGGAGAATGAGGAGAGGAAAAGATGCTTGATTCAAAGAGGAATGAAAGCTGTTGTTGGTATTTAGGAGTGTTGTGCATTCTGCCTGCAGCCTGAAAAATGGGTGGGAAGGTGCCTGTGTATAGCTGGGGGAAGAGACGGAGATTGAACTGGCAATCTAGTGAGTCAAGATGGTTGCTCAAATTCAATTTTGGCAAACGTGGGGATGGAGAGAAGTGGAAAGGTATATAGCCAGTACTCAGGGCAGTGGAGGTGGGCAACTAACGAGAAGAGGAAAGACTTCAGGCTAGTGCCGAGTTCCCTTCCTCAGTTGCCTTCTTGCTTTCTTTATGGAGACTTTCTCCTTAGGTGATGACATCGAAGGCCCATGGCTTTAAGTATTATTTTTATGCTGTGACTGCTTTGTGTATAACTATAGCTCTGACAATTCATCTAGACTCCAGCCTTACCTAGCTGCTCACTGGACTTCACCATGTGGATGTCCTGTGGGTGGCTGACTTCAAATGTGCCTAGCCCAATATGCTTGCTTCCTCTCAGCTCCCAGGTCTCACAGCTCCTCCCCACCCCCACCCCATATTGCTCTTACTTAGACTTTTTGTTAATGGCCTTGAGGACTCCTGTAGTTGCCTAAGCCAAAAACTCAGGAATTCTCCTTGGTTTCTCTCTTTCCCCTTCACTTGAATCTAATCCTTCAGCAAGTCCCTCTAGTCCAACTGGCTTTCTTTCTTTTTCTTGTCATTGCCAAGCCTATCCCTGACTCCAGGACTTAGTGTTTGTTATACTGACTGCTGGGATGTACTTCCTACTCTACCCTATTGTCTCATCTCAGACTCAGTGTGGCTTCCCTGCCTCCATCGCTATGCATTTCATTACTGGATACACGCCATGCACCTGCCATTTACTAGCTTTGCTGCTTTAGCAAAGAGTCTCAGTTCCTCATCTTTCCAAATGGGACAGCAGCAGTACCTTCCTCAACACAAAGAGCCTGGTAATGCTTTGGGTCTAAGAAACCCTTAGGATGTGGTTTTCCTCAAAAATATGAAGCAATGTTTAGTTGATAGTCCTACTGAAAATAGGGACACTTCCATTGAACAGCAGTGGCTGCCTGATAATCTTACCAATGTACAAATCATAAAATGTTCTCAGAATGAAAGGAGAACAAGAAAAGAGGAATGTGAAGAAAGAGAAAGAGTAATAAAATTCAAATAAGAATTACACTTGGTGGTTGGTTTGCTAAGTAGCAGATAATCTGAAATGAGAAACAATATAGCAGACTGTGATGGTAAGATGGAAAGTAGTGTCCCTGCCTTTCCTGGGGGTATGTTCTAAGAATCTCGCTTGATACCCAAAACCACAGATAGTATCTGTCTCCCATGTATATGTATATAATATGTTTTCCCTATACATATATACTTTATCATGCTCCATGGCTGTAACTTTTGCAATTGGAGGTGTGACAACAAAAGTAGCACAAATTTCTTTCCCAATTCCTTGAAAATTTGGTCTTACTGTAGACCTTACCTACCTCAGCATACGAATTTTCTTGATGGGTTCTTTGTCATACCTGAATTGCCAGCCTCTCTACTCTTGTACTTTGTGGATGGTCAGTCTGATAACTAAGAGAGCTGCTGAATGACTAGTGAGTGGGTAGCATATGTCACCCTGGACAAAAGGGTGACTGATGTCCCAGGTGAGATGGGGAGGGATGGCCCAAAATGTCTTCACACTACTTGTAAGAGCTCGTGGTATAAAACTTATGAATTCTTCATTTATTGAATTTTGTATTCAATAATTTTATTCTGTGGTTAATTGTGGGTATCTGAAACTGCACAGAATAAAAAGCCCACAGATAAAGAGTAGGAAGAGACTATTGTAAATAATATCTACATAACTAACATCTGAGAGCATCACCATGCCACACTAAGAGGCAGAGTAAATAAATAGGGCTTCCTACAGTTTTGGTGGAAAATTCAACAGAGTCAGAAATAGTGTTATTACTATAGTGATTAATAACAGTAACATATAAATACTTACTGTGGGCCAGGCATTTTTTTAAGTGTTATCATCCTCACAACAATGCTGAGTGGATATTTATTACTCCCATTTGATGGAAGGAAAAATCTCAACTGCAGAGTAAGTAATGTGCCCATAGTCTACCGCAGAGCCAGGCTTTCTTGCCTCAACACTCATAATCACTGTGCTGCACAGCCTAGTCCAGCTCATTCAAGTTCCTGAGGATGTTATTTACAGGATGTACTCTGCTGAGAGCCATGTTAGGTTATTATGGGGATAGTTTGAGGGCATGAAGATAGTTAGCCATATTGAAGTGGAATAATACAGCATGTCCAACATCCTCACAAAAGCAGAACTGCTCAGTCTGCCATAAAAGTTTATCAAACAAGAGAAAGGGCACTCAACTAAAGGCTAAATAGATGCTGAGTGTAATACAGGTACATCCACGGCCCAGCATATGATTTAGGTAGGTGGCTAGCTATTCTTTGCATTACAGTTGAGAAGTCATTACATGAATTTTGTGCCAATTCTTAGAAAAAGGTCTTGATGTGACCTTTTCTCTGACTCAGAGGTCATGGAAGAAGCATGTATATTAATAATTATGAGTTCATTTATTCAAGTATTTATTGAGTACCTACTATGCATAGGTCCTAGGTACTAGGTATACATTGTGAACAAAACATGATGTACCTGTCCTCTGCAAGCTCATATTCTAATGAGAGGACGCCTGTCCCCACCCTTAAGCAGAGTAGACTTGGGCCAGCATGAGAAGAGTAGAGAGTAGTATCTGTGAAGGCCCAGAGGAGGGCCTCTGTGTCTGAGTTGTCTGTCACTGATGGGCCCTCCTTGTGTCACTGTTGATCGTCCTTGTCATAGGAGAAGACCTGCAACAAGAAGCAGATGTTGCCACAGAAGATCCACAAGAGGAGGATGGCTCCCTCCTTACAGCAACTGATATAGACGACAGGTTCGAGACCCTGGAAGCTGGAACATTTCATGAAGGTAGACCACATTTATTTAGTTTCAGGATAAAGTACAATAGATAGTATATCATTTTAATTACTGGGTCTTTTTAAACCCTTTTAAAATTAATATTTTCTACATTTATATATAAATTTTATCTAAATTTTTTTACGTCAAAGCTTCAATTAAATGTTATGTAAAATAGATATGGTGATTTTGATTCAAAGATAAGGGAAACTCAGAATACTTAATCCATAAATTTCTTAATAGTAAGTTAAATACCTCAGCAAGCTACTTTTACGGTATTCTCTGAAGTGTTTTGTTACATGAAATTCAAGCAACGGATGAACTACTTCACTTGATCATCTGTCACTGGCCCTTCTGACGCTTGCTTTATAACACCAGCGGGTTAAGCGCAATCCATAACTTCTGTACTAGATAGTGACAGACTTTTTCTGTAAGCAGCTAGGTAGTAAGTGTCTTAGATGTTGTGAAGTATCTATCACAGTGCTCACCTCTGTTACTGCAGCACAGAAGCAGCCACTGACGATACCTAACTGGGTAATCATGCTGGGTTTCTGTAAACCTTTTATTTACAAAATCCTGTAAAATAAACCTGGTAAACAGCTGCAAGAGCTTTTTTAAAACATAAGCGTCATAAAGAAGTAGAGTTTGTCTACTCCTTCCCAGACTTAATATATTGGGAAGCTACTTTAGAAGCAGATACTTCATAATTTATGTGACTATATTTCCAAAAGCTCGTGTCCATACATGTTGTTTAGAGGAAACAATGCCCTTTCCCATAGAAATAGTGGTGCAAGGGATGGCTTACTGTCATACCAACCTACAGAATTTTAAACAATGCATATGTTTTTCAGGAAAAATGCAAACACAAAGTGCTTTTGAATATGTAGTTTCACCTGCATTATACATTGAAAATGGGGTGGCTGTAGACTAGCTTTAAAGCCTTAGACCTTCCCCCCCCCCTTTTTTTATTGTTTTGCTGGGTGGGGAGTACATTGTGGCATTTAGAAAAGTTCTTGCAACATATCAAATATATCATACTTGGATTCACCCTCCCCACCACTTCCCCTGCTCTTCTTTATCTTACCTCCCCCATTCCTGAAATAGTTTCAACAGGTATTATGTTTGCATTTACATACATCTGTACACAGTATGCATCATATTCACTATTCACTCTCTTACCCCCTTTCCCTGCAACCTCCCCCCTCCCTCTGGTACCAACCACCCCACTCCCACCCTGGGCAGGACCTAGTCTGCCTTCCTGTTCCCCTATTTTGTAGAGAAAAAAGAAAAAAAATGACATATTTTGAGATAAAGTAGCTACACAGGGAATTTCCTTATGATATTTCCATGTATATATGTTCTGTAACCCCAATTGTTTCATCTCCTCTATTTTTCTTCATTCTATCTTAGTCCTTTTCAGCTGGTTTCAGCTGGTTTAAGAATTCTGTATTTGTTGTATAGAGAATGTATCAACCATATTCATCTTCTCAGTTTCCTTTTTACTCCACCCCTCTCTTATATGACCTCCCCTTAGTGTGACCAGGTTTTCATAATATTGCTGTATGTGTATTAGGTCTGTATCCCACATATGAGAGAGAGAGTACATGTGGCTTTTGGCCTTCTGAGCCGGGCTAACTTCACTCAAGATGATGTTCTCCAGTTCCATACATTTACCTGCAAATGACAAAATTTCGTTCTTCTTTGTAAAGCCTTAGACATTTAGTAATCATTTATGTCATAGTTTCAGTGGGAAAATGTTTCTAATTTCTCACTAGGAATACTGATAATGACTTTTACATTTTCATCTGTCTCTTTCTTCCTCCTGTCTTTGGCCAAGATGCCTTGACAAGATTGACATTTGCTCAGAATTTTTTATCTTGGTGCTGCTTTTACAACAAATTTTAGTTAAGACACTCAAATACTCAGAAACATGAGAAAGGTTACAAGTATGGCAAGGATCATGGGGTGACAATACTTGCTGAGGGATGAGGGTTAAGTTATCCATACAATCACTGTTTCACTCTGCTAACATATAATGTCTGCTCCATTCTTCCTTTGTGTTTCCATCTGTAGATGATGTATTTTTTCTCTAGAAAATGGTAGGATGGGCTAGAAAATTTAACACCACGGTGGAATGTGAAGTGGAATAGAAATTAGCACCTTTCCTAGATCCAGCCTTTGTCACTATCACTCTATACAACTGCCTTCTGTCTTTAAACACAGGTTATGGTTTTGTCAGAGTTGTGTAGTTTTGTGCATCAAATAAGTGAATATGTGAAGACATTTCAGGGTGTAGTTCTGTGATAGATCAAGTGTTAGACACTACTGATATTTCTATGCTTTATTTTATTATTTTAATAGTTATTTGGCTTTAGAATAAGGTCAATGAAAAGCATTACTCAGAATAGACATATACAGTATACACTTTCATACCATTTTATGAAAGTAGTACTGTCAGTCTAATTTTTTTTTTTTTAGAAGCTGAAGATGATTACCATGTGGAAGAGACAGGTGAGATTTTAAATTAATATTATTCTTTCTTATTTATAATGAATCTTTTTCTTTAATAAAGCATAACATGCATAAAATATTATCTATTCATATTTCAAAATTAAATATATTACATATAGGATATAGCTAATAATCTTACATATTTTGTAACTATGTATATGTGTGAATGCAGTTTTTATATTAAAGTCTATTTCCTGAGTTTAAATCTCTGGAAATTAGATTACTTTGTCAAAAGATATAGTAGAATTGCAAGTTTTATAGCCTTTAATTACAAAATCAATGAAGGGTTGCATTGTATTTTATCACGTCACATGTCCCCAGAAGACATGCCCACTCTGGATATAGACACATCCTTTTTCAGTAAGCATGCATTGTTGGCTTGTTTTACCTCTAGTGTAAGAACAGATACCTCTTTCTGAGCTTGAGCACCACATGGTATTTATTGTTGACTGGTGTTTAAGATCTATATGGCTTCAGCACTACATATGGATACACACTAGAGCTGTGTCACAGTCTGCAAGAAACTCCACGTAGCGTACTTGGGCATTGAGTCCAGGTATGGGGGGGCTAGGCAGAGTATCTCTCACGCAAGTTTACCTGCAGCGGATGCTTCTGAATGGGGAGGAGGAAGTCTCACCTCCACTACTGTTTGGCTTCTGCCTCTCTTTGTTTCTCTATTTGCTGATGAATTAATCTGCATATGCTAAATGAAAATATAGCTGTACTGTTTTATGGTTAGATTATAAACCCATTGATGTCAAGGACTAGTTTATTCATCTTCATATTTCTGGCTTCTGCACAGTTCATACCTGTTGATTCTATGAGTGAATACGTTGACCATCTTTGTGATTTGATTTTACATTTCTGTCATTACCAGGAATTGTGCTTTTTCAGCTTTGAATATCATGTATAATCCTTATTTGAGACATGCATTTAATTTCCTAATTATTTCCTAATTTGCAGTTCCTCAGGACATGGAAGAGATGATGTATGACCAGGAAAACCCAGGTTTGAGAATACAAAAATTACTCATAGGTATTTCTGTTTGAGGCAGTGACCAAGGTCATTTTAGCCAGGGTAAATGGTTCCCACTGTTTCCATACAGAGATCTCTTCATAATACCTTTAAACATTTTTGATTCCCCAGATATTTATAGAAATTTCCAAATATAGTTTAATATTACATGGAGAAATGAGAGGAAAAGCAGATGCTTTTTTCAAACCATGATTGGGATGTTGGTCTTTGTTGGTAGGATGCTGGAAATTGAATAGACAGTATGGTATGGTAACAGCAGGCTGGGTACAAATCCTGGTTCTGTTCTTTCCCATCTCTGTAACTGAAAATTGTGCAATTTTGCTCAACTTAAATTTTATTAAATGATAGGAATAGTGTCTGCCTTATAGAATTGTATAGATTAGACTTAATCTGTGAATTGTTTAGAATGGTTTCTGGTAATATGTTTTTTTTTTCTTTTTAGAACACAGTGAACCAGTAGAATCAGTAGTAGATGATGACAGATTATACCAGGATACAGGTATTAGATGAACATTTTCATTAGGTTTTGAATGTTACTTAAGGTTCTTCAATTGCAGTACTATATTTGCATGGTGATTTTTTTTTTTTTTAGCAAGACTTTTGGTCTTGTAACAAAATTAGTCTATTGAAATAGTATCAGTAGCTACCTGTGTTTCACCTCACCTATCAACCATGCCCCCATAACAAAACAGGTTGTTAAAAACTAAGGCTAAATTCTGAAAAATTTTTATGAAAATAATTTATGTGCCCTTTTCTTTCTTTTTAGGGAGAGGTATTTATTACTGACTGGGCAGACATTAATGTTTCAATGAATAGAAATCTGTGTTTAAGTTTTAAGGGGATTTCTTTGTTTCTTTGTAGCTAAACACCTTCAATGACTTGTTTAATATTTATTTTGTTTTAATTTTCTTTTTGCAGATGGTATAACATACCAAGAAGATACTGAGCCAGGTTTGGAAACATTTCTTAGCCTATTTATTTTAAAATATATCCATGGTTTGACTATAAAATATAGAGAATTATGTTTTCACCTATAAATATCATAACATAACTTTAAAACATCGAAATGAATTGTTATTTTCAAAGAATTAACTTGGGAAGATTATTTAACTATTCAAGTGGTTCTTTCATTGCCTAAATTATTTCTTAAGCTTTTTGTAAATTACAGTTAACAAATTTCTGATCTCATTATTTTATAGTCATCTCTCTTTTGGCTAAAATATGTATAAGCAACTCTTTTAGCCAGAGTCTGACTCCTTTAATTGCTCCTGCAAGTTCATGCTACTCTTAAAGGTGACAGATGTTCCATGCTGGGGAAGGTCAAGAAGAATTGGAATCTAGGCTCAATGACAGCATCCAGAAAACAGTTCTGGCACATTTGTGGCATGGGCAGCATGTGATTCAGATTTAAGCAATTGTAACTGCTTTTTTCTTATGTTCCATGAAGTAGATTATATTTTTCTCTGCTCTCTAGAAGAGAGAAATATTGTTTGGGGAAAGTTAATAATTTGGCTAAGATTATATGACTAGAAAATAGAGCCAGTCATGAATCTTTTAATTCAGTATCTTCAAAAATGACTCTCAAAAGAGAGGTTAATTGAGTGTAACTTAGTGTGTAAAGCAAGAAAGATGGAAAAATTGGCAGTGCTTAAATTGAATACAGAGGACTTTCTGTGTTCTAGATGGTTTTAGGGTTTGAAATTCCAATATAGGATCCTTACTTTCAAGTGGTTTAGAGTTTCATAACTGATGAACTGCCACTGAAAAAATTAGAAATAGCTGTGTATAGACATAATATGCTGATTCCTTAAGTATGTATTTAAGATTTGGGACCCTACTTATCATCATCCATTGTTTCTAGTGAGGTAGGAATGATACCATTAGTAGAATCCTACACTGTCCTTAGGTGCAATATTTTTTATAAGAAGTTAAAGAAGTTTACCACTGAGATTGCATTTAAATTTTCATTCTTGAATTTGAAGGTGAAAGTAAGAATTTAGAACTTAAAGTTTGTATGTAGAATAGAATTTGAGATACTTTTCTCATTTCTGCCAATCATGGTTTTAAAATATGTTAGAAAGAACTTGTTTGGAATACAATTTACAGACTAGATGTAGAGGAACTTAAAAATCAAACTTGTAAGAAGTATAAAATTAGGTAACATGGTAAAAAGGATGTTGAAAAAATAAATGTTCATAAGCACACTATCACAATAATTGTGATTTAAAATGTTAATGAAGAAACATTAAGCTGTAAGGAGATCATCATGATCTAGGCCTTGTTATAGAACAGAAACTTTTTCAAACACAATAGGTTTAATAGAACAGAGAACTATTCTCTGTGCTATTCAAGAACCAGACTAGAAGAAACAAGTAATTGGCCTATAAGTGAAACTGTAAGGAGGAGAAACAAAACCTTATTTCAGTGGGACATACAGTATGCCCTATATTAAACTCTCTAGCTTTCCACATGAAGCCTACATTGGACAAACCTGGGGACTAGAAGTGTCTTGCTATCTAGCTGGTTTATTTACTCATATGCTACCTATTTAGTGTCTTGCATCCAAAACAGAGGACACTGAGTAGCTGTAGTTAAGGACACACATGGTTTGTTCTCTCATGGTCTTTATATTTTCTCAGGAGGTAAACTAATCAATAATTTCAAGATAGCTTTCAGTTATAGTTATCAGTGCTGTCAAGAACCAGTATAGTATGCTTTAAGGGCTTATAATAAAGAGACCTTACCTGGTTCATTGAGAGCAGTTGACAAGGTGAGGAGAAATATGGTTGGACAGTGGTGTGAAATCTTTGAGGTGATATGTGAGTGAGAAATGAGACTGTTGAGGTGGCCTGGATCCAGGGGATGCCAATAGGCAAAGCCTAGGACTTCACAATAGAGCACTCTGCAGGCCCTGCAAAATCAGATGTGCATTTTGAACAGGTTGGATATATCTCATATATAACTTGTGAGAAACAATAGATATGGGGAGAAGGGAAACTGCTAATCTGTCCTCATGTCACATCTCTGCCAAATAAGGAGCCAAAGGAGAGGAGTTCCATGAAGGGCACAGCATATTTGGTGGTATTTTATGTTACTGAGAGCCATGTACCACAAGCAATGAGAGCATGTATGTGGTCTAGTGGCCTCATGGGTGACCACGGGACCTATCTGTTTCACTGGATAGATGGAATGGAGCCAGAGTGATGGTAGTGAAGGTAGGGAGTAGACAAAACTGAGAAATCTCTACAAGGTCAAATTGGCAGGGCTTGATGTGTGGATATTGCTGAGGAGAGAGAGAGCAAGGTGCCAGGAGCACCCCCCTCCACCCCCCAACTCCTGGCTTGATGGCTCTTGGTGCTTTTTCTCTAAGATAGGAGATACTGGAAGACAGAAACCAGGTCTGGAGCTCCCGAGTCCAGTTCCATACATATAGTGAGGATTTTTTGAGATTCCCATATAATGGTGTTTGGCTCTGAGAAGAGAAGTCTACTCCTGGCTGTGAGTGTGGGAATCATCCCTGTCTACATGTTCATTGGAGCCAAAGTGTCATGTGCCTTAAGGAGAGAGAATCCAGGGATTGAGAGATAATTCTGTGGCTAGACTTTGAATAAAATCTACATGTAACACCTACTAAGAAAAGGATGAAGTGATAAAGAAGACTGATAAAGAGAAGTGAAAGACTAAACAGAATTTGGTCTCACTAAAGTCCATAGGGAGAGTTTGGAGAGAAGGCCTGTTGTTAAGTGATCCAACACAGCAGTGCTGGAAAGTGTCCATCACATTTAATGAGGTGTTCACTGCCCTCTTAGTACAAGCCTTCAGGGCCAGAAGACAGATGGGAGTGGGTTGAGGAGAGGAAGTTAGGATAGGAAACATCAAATATAAATGACTCTGAAGAAATCAGATTGTGAAATGGAGGAAGAAAAGTAAAGGGAAGCAGGCCCAAGAAGGGGTTGGCTTTGAGTACTATGAAGTATGCATGTAATTAAACATGAGGTGACAGAGTACACATTCCCTGCCCCTTCTTCTTCTAAATGCCCACCAACAGAACATATGATTGTATCCCAATACCAAGAATAATGGCAAAATGATAGTAATTGCTCAACCTGGCTCTTCCAGGAGACCAGACATGGCTTTCCCTATAGGCAGAGAGCAGTCTGGACTGGGCATTGTTATCTGCATAGAAGGAATGGCAGGCAAAATTGAGATGTCTCATAAGCAACAGATATTCTTGGCTTGAAAGACAACACCTAAGAGACAGTGGTCTTAAAGGAGTTCAGAGTGAATCAAGAAGTATGCCCTTCAAATGGGCCTGAAGTTATTGTGTATTTTCATGGATGGAATCCTTCTGAGAATGCTAGAAGAGGGAATGATTTGGACAGAGTTGATTAGGTGTAAATCTTATACTACTCTCTCTTGCTGGTAATTTAATGCAGCATGTTGAGAAAGTCTATCCTGTGCTAGGATAGACTGTATACCAATAATTTTGAATAACCTGTATATGATATGAGTTCTAAGATTCTCTTGTTTCTCTTCATTGTTTTTCTTTTTTTTTTTTGGTTCTGGGGATCTGTTCCTACAATACCAATAATATAAGGGACCTGTGTAGTTTGAATGTATATGAGTAATTTCAGTGTGCTTTAATTGTCCTTTTTGACTTAACCCAAAGCATCAGTAACTCTCAAGCCTTTGTATGTTGTAGGTGCCTAAAGCCTATGAGATGAAATACAGTAATTTGAAGGGCTATATAAGAGAATATTAGTTAGTTTGGTTAGAGTGTGATAATTATAGTAGATAATTAGATTAGTTTGTTTTCAAATAATTGAATTGCAATAAAAGGACATTTGAATGTGGTTTAAATTTTTTTTCCTGTTGGTATTGGGTTTTAAACTCAGGGCTTCGCGCTTGCTAGGCAGACACTCTACCTACAACTTAAAGCTCACCTCCAAGCCTAATGTATCATGTAAAAACAGAAGATAGTAAATACTCAAACTGTTCTTCATTAAATGAATAAAATAATAATTTTCTGACCATTCTGGGAAAATAAGAGAGCTTGCTTTTAGTATACCAGAAAATTGGAGGCATTTTGGAAGATCAGGTTGACTGAGAAAGATGCCAGATGCTAGGCATAGGACAGGGTTGCTTGCAGACTAGACTTCTTTGCACCAGAGCAGAGAAGCTCCAAGCTCTATGTCAGTAAGTGACAGCGGGGATGGTGGTGGACTCTGGTTACCATGGTGAATTAAGAATCTGCCAGCCAACCCCTTCTAAGAGGCCAAGGCAAGGGCGTTTGCCCCTAGGCTACTTCAGAGGTTAAGTAGGGAATCATCCTGGTAAAACTGGAATCCAGTGTGACTAGCAGGGAAGAGCTTTGGCACCAGACCTCTACCACAGACATGAAGAACACTAAAAATGGAAAATTCCGTGATACTGAGGTATAAACATATTATTGAATCCTGCTAACAAGTGATTGTGGGAGGAGTTTGTATTTTCCCCGTTGTATGGAAAGGGAACCTGTGAAATTACCATCCCCCATGACTAACCAGTAGTTGACCTGGAATTTGAATTTAGACCTGCGCTCCAGTTGACCAATCTCTTCCCTGGCCTGTTCCATAATTTGCATTTCTGTAACTAAGCCTTGAGGTTCTAATATTTATAAGTAACACAAGAGCAGACCCTTAGAATATGTTGTCTAGGTTTGTTATAACAAAAGGTATACAGCACTAAAGAACTTTTTATTTCTTTATTTTACAGTATATGAACCTTCAGAAAGTGAGGGGATAGAAATTTCAGGTGAGTTTTTTCTGTTAGAGAGGGGATGTAGATCGCTTCCCCCATTTTTTTTTTTAAATTTATAACTTATGGAACCAAGAGTAGATTAAAAAAATGCAAGGTATTTTCAAGCCACTAAGAAAGCTGTCAGTGCAGTTTCCTTCTGTGTCTGCAGTGGGATTGATTCTAGGATGTCCCACAGATATCAAAATACGGGGACACTGAAGTCTCTTATATAAACTAGTATAGTGTTTCCATGTAACTTATGCATATCCTCCTGTGTACTTTAAATCATGTCTAGATTACTTTCAGTCCTAATGCAATGTAATCGCTATGCCAATAGTTGTATTGTGTAGTGAATGATGACAAGAGAAAATATCTGTGTATGTTCAGTGCGAACACAGTTATTTTTGGTCTGAATATTTTCAGTCCTTGCTTGAATTCCCAGGTGCAGAGCCAGTGTACACAGAGGGCCAGCTACATATTTATTCCATATTTATGGTGCAAATTTTGTCATCAGGGATAATACTAAATTATTTAATTAAATTTCAGAATATAATTTAGAAATCAAAGTTAATATTCTATGATAAAAACTCATGAGTCTCTGTAAGAAAACTCAGTCTAAGAAAAGCAAAATGTAGATATCCAAGTAGATATTAGTTACTTTAGAGATATGACTAGAGGTGAATTAATCTAATGTATGATTATTTTTTTTTAGATAATGTGGAAAATTCAAATATAGTTTCAGAAGGTAAGTAAATTTTATAGAAATAATTTTAAATGTAGTACTAGAGATGTTAATTCATTCAGCAAGTATTGCTTGAGCACTTCCTGTCATCTGTCTATACAGTGTTCAGGCACTAGGAGTACAAGGGTGAATGAGATAGACAAAAATTCCTTTTTTCATTGGGGCTGGCATTCTAGTAGCCAAACAGATGATAAATAAAGTAATTTAAACCTCAGGAAAAGTACAGTAATGTTGATAAAAAGAAGACACTGTGAAAATAATGGATCAGGGTGCAGAGGGTTGCCCTGAATTAGAAGTAAGTGACCATTTAAGAGAAGGTGGTTTGGTGAGAAAGGGTTAGCTGTGGGCAGAGGGCCACAGCTCTGGGCACAGTTGAAAATTGGATCTTTTTTGTTGTTATTCAATGTGGGAGAAAAGAAAAACAATTTTTGGGGTTGGTTTGGTTTTTGGAAGTGAAAGGATGCCTTCTGAAAAGTAAAAGTAGCTGCATAGACTATATTAAATAATGGCACTTTGATACAACTTAGATTTGGATAGTGTGGAACAGCTTATACAGTTCCTTCAGATAGCTTATTTCAGTTGCTCCTCACAGCAGACACTGTGGAAGACACAGGGTAAAGATCTTTGTGCTTATTTTACAAGTAAGGAGCTGAAACTACAGTGAGGTCCAGTGAAGTCAGGTTGTCCTCTGGGTCCATGGGTGTAAGTGGCTGAGCTGGTGCTCCATCGCTGGGCCCTGAAGTTGACTGTGCGGACACATATGCTTTTACTACAGAAGGCTGCCACAGGGAATATGAAACAGAAGCTTGCTCATAGAGTTACTCTTAGAATTTTTTTCTATAATGGGAATCAAAAACAGTGCTTTCTTCATGCTGGACTAGCACTCTACCACTGAGCTACAGCACCAGCTAAATGTTACTGCTTTTGAGCTTGGTTTGGCAGACGTGATCATGGTGTAATTGGTGTAAACGGGGAAGGAATTGGTATACATGTGGAAGGAATACTGAGCTGTGGGGGACATGTCTGCCCATGCTTGTGGGTTCAGTGTGTGTGGGAAGGAGTCATATTCAGGAACCAGGGATTGGTTGCATTGAGATTTTCTCCTACCTCCTATTACTCAATTCTGTATAAGGAATATTAATGTTCTGAAGAATATTGCTGAGAATATGTTGGTTCAGTGAGAATCAGAAAATGGAAATCCCAAGTAACCAGGAACAACTTCATCTAACTTCTCCCACATACGTTTTTTAAAATAGAACTAACATCATCATATTTGATGCCTTTTTTTGAATTAGAAATACAGATGTTTCCTAAATTTTTCAAGCATTTTGAGAAGCTGAGAGACTGCTAAGGGAATCCCTTCTATTGGACAGTGTGGCTCTGTGCTGTGCACTTGCAGCTTACTTGTGGCTGCTGTGTTAGGTTCTGGCAGTATCTGAGTGGACTGATAATCTTCACACACCCGCTGGCCACCTCTTCCCCAGCCTCTCTTGCCAAGCTGGTGGCATCAGTGCATACTTGGATTCCCAAACCAGAAACATGGGAGCCATTGTTGACTCCTTTTCTCCCTCTGTCTCGATAGCTAATCCCAAGACCTGTTAGTGGACTCCTTTAATATTCTCTAGTCCATTCCTTTCTGTGTAGCTCATGTACTGGTTGTCTGGTTCAGCCCATCTTCCTAGATTAAGCAGTAGCCTTGTAGCTGGTCTTCTTGACTCTGTACTTACCCTTTCAAATCCATATTTTGTGTGCCACCAGGATGATCTATGTAATACCACATCTCAGTCTATCAGTCCTGTGCTTAAACCCTTCTGTTATTTTCCAGCTGTGTCAATAAGATAGCTTTTACTTTCAGAGAATAGAAAACAAAACTCAATTTGACTTAAGCAATTAAAAAAAAAAAAAACAGAGACAGATTACCCTGAAACCTTACAAAACCTACTAAGGAATTTGAATTATATTCCAGGTACAATGAAAATTTATGGAAATACTTAAGCAAGGTATAGCATAGTCGGTTTACACTTTGAAGAACAACTTCCATTCTTACCTAGCTAGAGAATAACTTGTATGGAGTAAGAATGGATGAGGGGACCTCCCTGTTAGGAAATTACCTTATACTAATCCAGGAAATTGATCATGGTAGCCTAGAGTAAGATCATGGCTATGGAATGAAAGGGAGAGTGTTGAACCTGAGCTACATTTTATAATTAAGTTAAATGGATTTTTATGATGTTATGAAGTGAAGAGGAGGAATAAAGGGGACATCTGGTTTGGTTTAACTGTTGGATGATGTGGCCCTTTATTGAGAAAAAGAATACTGGAATATAGAAGAATCTGCTTTAGGGAGAAGGTCAGAGACGCCACAATTTAACCTTAAAAGTTATGTGGGACATTCAAGTGGAGGTACAAGTAGGAAGTTGATATGCCAGTCTAAACTAATTGGGCAAGATCTGAGATGGATATGAATATTTGGAAGCCGTTATCACAAAAATGTTATTAAATCCATGAAAGTTGTTATCATTTTGGAGGTCAAGTGTGGAAAGAGCAGAAAAGCTGCTGCAGGACTAAGCTCTAAGGAATGCCAACGTTGTGAGGTTGGGTAGAAGATGACCAAACAGTGAGTCAGGATGAAAATCAGTGGGGAAGGGTATGTCAGAAGAAAAAGAGGGAATATGTTTCATGCTACCTGGTAACCCAAGATGTCAGAATTAGGAAGTCTCCATTGCAATATGGAGATTTTTGGTTGTCTTCCCAGAAGCCATTGGTGTAATTGGTGAAAGTGGAAGCCATACTCAATGAAGTGGGTTCAAAAAATCCTGGGATAAGAAAAAGTAAGCTGCATAAATAAAATAGGTAACTCTTTCAAATTCTGTTGATACAAGTAATTAGCTATTTTATGTTTTAAATCATATGCCAAAATAAATCATGTACCAAGAAAAATTTCAGATGTGTTTGAATATATTTTTCCCAGAATAAAACTAGATGAAAATTTAACTTGGAATAGCAACACTTTCTTACTGTAATTTCAGTGATGAAAATAACAAAGGAAGTGATTAACATATGAGCAGTGTGATTATTTTTTGTTTCCTTTTCTATATAATAGTTCCAAGATTCTATTTTGAGCATACATCATTTTTATAAATAGAAGCAAATTTTGGTAAGAATAAAAATGATTAAAATAGCTGTATAAACATTTTGAACTTTAGAAAATTCTATTGAAAACAAACAAACAAACAAAACCTTTCACCAAAGCCAGTAGTAGTTCTTAAGGGGCAAAAAGAAAGCTGATGCAGTTTTATCTTTAGGTGAAGGTTATTTTAAGTGGGTTGTTAGGTTTGAATATATTCATATCTGAAAAGTTCACATCTACATCTTGGGGGTTGGACATGTAGCTCAGTGGTAAAGCATATGTGATTGCACAAGCCCTGGGTTCAATTCCCAGCACCCCCCCCCAAAAAAAGGTTATGAAAATTACTTTTTTTTTCTTTTATTCATATGTATATACAATGCTTGGGTCATTTCTAACCCCTTCCCCCCACCCCCTCCCTTTCCCCCCCACCCACTCGCTATCAGGCAGAAACTATTTTGCCCTTATCTCTAATTTTGTTGGAGAGTATGAGCAATAATAGGAAGGACCAAGGGTTTTTGCTAGTTGAGATAAGGATAGCTATACAGGGAGTTTACTCGCATTGCTTTCCTGTACATATGTGTTACATTCTAAATTAATTCTTCTTGAACTAACCTTTTTCTAGTTCCTGGTCCCCTTCTCCTATTGGCCTCTGTCACTTTAAAGTATCTGCATTAGTTTCTCTGCATTGAGGGCAACAAATGCTATCTAGTTTTTTGGGTGTCTTACTTATCCTCATACCTCCCTAGTGTGCTCTTTCTTTATCATGTGATCAAAGTCCAATCCCCTTGTTGTGTTTACCTTTGATCTAATATCCACATATGAGGGAGAACCGATTTTTGGTCTTTGGGGCCAGGCTAGCCTCACTCAGAATGATGTTCTCCAGTTCCATCCATTTACCTGCGAATGATAAGATTTCATTTGAAGATTACTTTTTAAAAAGAACTTAATTAAGGATAGTATTTGATTTAATACTCAATTTCATTAATTTCTTTGTGTTGTTTAATGTTAAAAATAGGGCATTGAAGCAAAATCTTTTCAATATTTGGTGCTGGGATGTGACTCAGCTCAGTGGTAGAACATGTACTTATTAGCAGGCACAAGACCACCCTGGGTTCTATCCCCTGCACCCAAAAGCAAAAAACAACCAAGATGTTTTAAGTGTCTTTCCTTAGCTCTCTTGTATGATGCAAAATTGTTGAAACCTAGGTTTCAATCTCTATCTCTTGAGCCAGGCAACAGAATTTTTAGTTATAAAATCTGTTGTGTAGAATGGTTGCGAAGTATACATTTTGCTTACTTGAGCTAACTCTTTTCTTTGTTGTGATGGTGTAAAAATCTAATGTTTTTATGATAATCACAATTACATTTTTTTAAAGTCTGTAAAAATAATAACCATAACTTAAATACTGCAAACTATAATTTAAACTCGGATCAGTAGTGTGTGATGGTTGTGACCTCATTTTTTATTTTAGAAGTAAGTGTGCCACCTGTGGAAGAACAGCAAGAAGTACTGCCAGGTATGATATTTCATTAGTTGTACTTTCCTTTTTGTTTAATTTTAAAATGCTGTGATGTTAACATTAGCTTTATACAATCTATGAAGGGTAAACCCAAAATTTGAAAATGTCTGCTGTGTCCACTGCAGAAGAGCTAATATAGTAAGCTTAAAACAGCAGAGGTCAATATGGGAAGGTGACCAGGAAGTAGTGAAAAGGTCAGGTAGAGATGAATCAATTCGAGTTGTAATACACTTGTACATGAAAGCAATGCTAGGAATCTCTCTGTATAACTATCCTTATCTCAACTAGCAAAAATGCTATGTCTTTCTTATTATTGCTTATGTCTTCTCTTCAACAAAATTGTAGAAAAGGGCAGAACAGATTGTGCCTGGAAGGGAGGTAGATGGAGGGGAGAGGGAGAGAGTGGGAGGCAGGGAAGAGATATGGTCCAAACAATGTATGCACATATGAATAAATGAGTAAAGAAAAAAAATAGAGAAAAAATTCTGAGAGAAAAGGTTTTAAAGTACCTGAATTTAAAAAATAATTCTGTTTTGATCTGTTGAGCCAAAGTAATGGAAGCACACATTGATTCACTCTAGGCTATGTGTTGTGCTTGAGTTTGAGGAGTGTTAGTCAAAGTGCCATATGATTTTGCCATTACAGATGGTGACAGCAGTGTAAGTTAGGGTTTTGTGGTTTGCTTTTCTCCATTTTGTTGTCAGGATATTTGATATAGATGTTGGAACTCAGAGCTGCTGCAGTAATGAAAGTCAGTCTAACAGCATGACATTGTTCCTCTTTCTTCCCAGTCCTTGCCTTCTTGAGAACATCATTAAGGCCCTTTGACAATCCAGGCTTCCTAGGGCTTGTCAGTCCCTGTGGTCTTTCCTTTCAGCCCATCACATGAAACCCATTTCTCTACTTTTCTCTGTGTCCCTTTCTCCTCCCACCTGTGCCCTTTTGTTATCAGTGAATTAGAGAATGAGAACAACCTTTCCATAAGGCCTGTACTTTCAGCTGCATTTCAGAGATGACATAAACTAAACCTGTGATCAGAAACTGGCATGTAACCTCCTTTTCTCATAGTGGGAAAGAATATTCTAGCAAGAGAGGATTTTTTATATCCTACCTCTTCCCAAAGTATATTTCTTCTTGTTTCTATTCTATTTCTTTTTTTTTTTTTGACATATTTGTTGATTCAATTTTTACTTATTTTTGACATTACGCTTAATGTGAATTTTGTAGCAATGATGTACTCTACCATTATTGATACTGGTATAAATAACTGTATCTGCCAAAATGAAATACTAAATTTTCAGATAAAAAATAACCGCAGAATAAAATAACCAAAGACTATTACTAGTAATTGTGCTTTGTTTACTTAATGAATGAGATGCTTTAGGTTTTGATAATTATCTTACCATGTATATACATAAGTATGCAGAAACAAATACTTGATTAGGAGGCCTGAAATTTTGGTATTACAATATGAATGGGGAGAAATCTATGGAGAAATTTACATGATTACTATGAAACAGTGTATATTTTGTATTTAGAAAAGATGGACCTAGCGAGGAAAATTGGTACTTACATCTGCTTTTGGGGGGTTACTCTTTTTTTGTTGTTGAATGGTACTTAACAGAGTACCTTTGCCTGACAGAGCATGTTATAGAAGTAGCATTTTGATTACTACTTCACTCTTTTAAAAACATTAAGCATTCTAGAAATGAGTTTCTACCACATCAGTATTTTTCAAGTTACAATCCATATGTTTTAATATTGATCTAATTGTTGTGAAAGTATGAGAAATAATATTCTCTTCCCATAAATCTCTGTGCTTTTATCTCATGTCTAATAAGCAGACCCCCAAAATTTCTTTGTATTGTAAATATAAAATGCTGAATGGTTACCAGCATGATGAAATAAGGTGTTTTGTAAGATGAGATACTTAACAACCACAGTCAAATTGATGATTTGCATAGCTTGTGACACATAGTGAGTTTCTAGTAAATGGTGGGCATGGTTATTGTTTAGAGATTAATTAGCCTGATCCATGGAGTGGATCAAGAAAATCTAAATTCTGAGAGACCTTATCAAGAAGTTGTGACCTGTAACTTGGCCTCCTAAAAATTTGACCCAAGGTGTAGTTGTAATTTGACCTTGCCAAAAGAGAATGTTAAGTCTGAGAGTCAGCAACATTGCTCTTGGCTTGCTTATTTCTTATAACTCTCAATCTTTACATTACAGTTTTTTTATTCACCACAAAAGTAATGTTGATATGTATGTATTAGTGATATTTTTAGTCAGCATTAGTGATATTTCTATTGCAAAGTTGACTGCTTTTGCAGTAGCGTTTAATTATATATCTGATTGCTAGAACTGCAGAAACAGTTGTTTGTATGCCTGTCTCCTCACTACATTTCTTCAGTCTTTAAAATTCTTTCATTCGCTAGAAAACTCAAACCATGAACAGAATTCTGCAAAATCCTGGCTATTTGCATTCCTTGATCATTCCGGGACTGAGTGATAACAGTCTTGTGTTGCTTACTAAAGTTCACAATAGTGTACTTACAGGTGTTAATCTCATATGGCATTATCACCACTTTAACCAGCCACAAAGTAGGAGATAATGATGGCCTCCTACATTTATTTTGTAGGTGCTCTTCTAAGCACATTCCATTGAGTAACCTTTAATAGTTCCAGTATTCCAAGAGGTAGACATGCTGTTATTTCCATTTTATAGGATGAGAGTGGCAATGCAAAGTGACCTTCCCTGGGTCACAGAGCTGACAAATAGTAGAAGTGTGGAGCCTTGCATTCTGGCTCTAGAATCTACTCTTTGGCTGCTGTTTTCTACAATATCTTAAATAAATAAAGGCCATCGAGCTGATAGGAGTTTTGAGCTGTTCTGGTGTGATAAAATTAGCCACATCCTATTTTTTTACATCTTGCTCTTAATTTGCATTAATTAATCACTTAGGACTCAGGAATGTTGAGATTTGTTTATGACTTATGGTATAAAGCAAGTTGTAACATATATACTCTTGGTGAAGATGTGGAAGATCAGTCCTAAGAAATGATCATTCTGCTGTTAGAAGCCAGTAATTTTGAAAACCAGATTTTAAAAATTGATTTTGGAATCTTTATCCCTCCAACAAGTTTTCACCTTTTTCCTCAAACTCATATTTTTACTTGAAGTCATACAGCACTAGCAATTTGGCAGCATAGATCTACCTAGCACAAATTAAATGATTTATGAAGACATGATTATGGATTTCAATAGAGTAATATTTTTAGCCAAACAATACTTAAAGCCATATGACTAAGTGGGTCCATTAACTGTTTTTCTATCTTATCATGCCAGAAAAAGAACCAAAAGTTAATTTTATGTTTTGAATAATCATGTTATTCAGAATGGAGATGTATGAGCATCATGGCTTCCGAGTGATTCTGCTGCTCCTCACTCTTTGAAATTGGAAACAACATTTGCAATTGACCACACTGTGAAATATTCTAACAGTGGTAGTGGTTTTATTCCATTGCATCCATCCAGAACTCCCATTCAGGCCTTCCTATCACCTAGCACCTAACACCAGCCTTCAGCTGGCACCCCTAAAAGTGTGAAGCAAAGGCAAAGACTTTATGTTCAGAGCAGCTAAAAATTGCTGTATGTGCATATTGTTCTTGATCATCCATTCAAAAAGTTATAGGAGCTGGCAGGTGAGGAGCAGGTGCTTACTAAGCAATAAACCGAGACGGTGGGTCATCCAGAATGTAAGACAACATGATGGAAACATTACAGGCATCTCACAGCTTCTTCTACACCACGTTTGGGAGTTTGGATCTGGGCCAAAAGTAACAGGAAGCTGCTGGGGAGTTCCTAGCAGAGAAATCATAGAATCAAACTCAGATTTGGAAAGAGTACTCCAGAAAGGAGGTAGAAACAAGTAAGGGGCATTGATCTAAGCCAGAAATGGCAGAGCTACACTATGGAAGAATGAATGAAAGGGAGGCACTGATTTCATGGAGACTGGAGGAGAGGAGTCAGGAATGATTCCTACATTTTTGGAACCTTAATGGAAATGCAGAGGCAGGAGGGCAGCAGAAGGGAAGACCGGCCTAGATTTGGAGATTATGTTTGCACCTTGGTGAACAACTTCTGAGTTGAGACATTTAACTATTTAGAAGCATTTGTTAAAATTGCAACTGGACTTTGAGTTAACTTGATTTTTTATACGTGCTTATGATACTTTGAACAATTTCCCATTGTCTCAAGGTATTATTTCAAAAATGTTTGTTTCTCTCAACATTTAAGTAGTTATTAAATTCTAAGAGAACCTAAAGTCAAATTTACTTTTTAAAACTTTTTCTGTAGAGTTACAATTGACATACTGGGTTGTGCTGAAATGTTGAATTTTTACATGTGTATCACCCTTGTAATAACTACTCAGATCAAGCTGTAGAAAATGTGCGGCACCCAAAAGCTTTTCCCTCAGTAACTTCCATAAAGGTAACTACTATTCTAACTTGCAGCATCTAGGCTGCTATTGTCTGCTTTTGAATTCAAAAGCCATTCTAAAGCCATAATCACACGCATATAAACACACACACGTACACACATTTTTGTGACTCATTTCTGTTGTACAACATCACATCTGTGAGTTTCATCCACCTTGTTTTTTAAGTAGAGTAACTTAGTCTTAACACTGTTTCTAGAAATGTATAACAATGTTTTATAATTCCATTGTTGATGGATAATCTAGTTTTGGGCTACTATAAAGAAAACTATTATGCATATTCTTGTACATGTCTTATGGCTATAAGCACTAATTTCTGTTGTGCGTATTAAGTTATACATATAATTTCGAGTTGCTCCACATTAGCACCAAGTCATTCTTTCTTATATAGATAGATAGATAGATACATAGATCTATAGATAGACAGATACATAGATGGATGGATGGATGAATGGATATTGGAGAGAAAGAAGGAAATACAATAGTTTCCATTAAATA